GGGTTTAGGGTTTAGGCCCTTCAAACTCTGGGCTTCCTTGCTGCCTGTTTGGTGAGGGCTACTTTAGGGTTATTATATGGTAAAAAATAGTATGTTATAACATATTGTGGTAAAATATGGGACATTATAGTATATTAGGGTTAGATTAGGGTTATATAGTATATAATAGTATGTTCTGACATTTTCTGGTATATTATGGTACATTATAGTATATCATGGGGTACGCATTGAGGTAATATTAGGGGCTATATAGGGGCTTATATAGGGATAATGGAAAAGAAGATGGAAACTTACCTTTGGTGATATAGGGGTTCTATAGGAATCATATAGGGATAATGGAAAAGAAAAAGGAAAGTACTATAGTATATTGGGGTTATATAGGGATGATGGAAAAGAAGATGGAAACTACTATTTCGTGTTTAGGGCAGCTTTGGGTCGATCCCTGTGAGGAATTAACACAGAATGCCAATGATTCTGGGGTGGCTCCAGAAAACTGGGGGCTAGGGTTTAGGGTTTAGGGTTAAGGGTTTAGGGTTTAGGGTTTAGGGTTGGACACCCAAGCCCTGATTCAATCATGGGCAGGTTCAGGACCAGGCCCCATTCATTTTTGGAACCATCCAGCTCCTGCACCATAACCTGGCGCCCAAGACAACTTGCTGGTGCTTAGTGGGAATACGGCAAGTTAATATGGGGTATAGTCCAAACTCCTAGTATCCTCCTTAGTAACCCCTACAGTAGTCCCCTATATCATCCCCTATGTGGGAACTCCCCTTTAAGCAGCTTAGACTATAGATATAGAGCCAAAACTATAGGGGTCCATCCCCTTATTCCCCACTGACCACCAGTGAGACAAGCGTTTATCCGGAAAGGTCGGCTTGGGGTTTCCCAAAATTAGGTGATACCTTTAAAGGGGGTTTATAGGGGTCTTATAAGGGTTTTATAGGGTTTAGGGTTCCCAAAACTAGGGATATCTTTTTGGGTGTCCCTTAAATGAGGATTAGAATATTTTGTGTTCTATATTGGAATTCCCCCTATTCGGAAATTACCACATGGGTGATGCTCACGTAGGGTACCCTGCGCCGTTGAGAGCATATCCACAAACTATAAATACGCAACCGTGTTTTGGAAACTACTTCGCAAACGTGATCCTAAACTCCAAAACCATACAGTAGATCTGGTGCCCATTTCTGCAGGCCTCATCGATTTTCTTCTGCTCTCGAACGTCCATGCCAACGAGCTTAGGTCCAATAATGTCGTTCACGTTCGCGACTGCCTGAAACCGCACCCACTCTTTGAAGTGTCTTCGCTTACGGTCAGAATTTTAGGGTTCTTGGGTTTAGGGTTTTGGGGTGTAGAGTTAACCCATTATAGTAGTTTCAATGTTCTTGCCCATTATCCCAGTATAACCCCAATATATACCCTGTAAAACCCATTAGGTTAGAGGCTGTCACCCTGATCGTGCCTTCAACACACCCTTTCCCAGCAAGCGCGCTTTGTCTCCATCACGCAACTCCAAAGCCTGGCCAATGAGTAGTCTCTTCAGGATCTAAGGGTTTAGGGTTTAGGGTTTAGGGTTTAAGAAGGGTTTAGGGTTTCGGGTTTAAGGGGTAAGGGTTTAGGGTTTAGGGTTTAAGGGTGTAAGGGTTTAGGGTTTAGTACGGGTTTAAGGATTTAAGGGTTTAAGGGTTTAAGGGTTTAGGGTTTAGGGTTAAAGGGTTTAGGCTTAAGGGTTCAGGGTTTAAGGGTTTAAGGATTTAAGGGTCGGCTGCTGAAGGACTTGTTTTGCGGTTAATGCCAATATCTTGGGGTTATATTCGGATAATGGAAGAGAAAATGGAAACTACTATAATGGTTATACAGGGTATATATTGGGGCTATATTGGGATCATGCAAAAGAAAATGGAAACTACTGTATTATAATGAGGTATATATTGGAGGCCTCATAGATTCCTGTGGACGCACCACTGGGAACTGCTGCACGGAAAAGAGCCATTGGCGTGCAGAGGTCCACCTAGCAGGTCCATGTTGGAAGTCCCCTCCACACCAAGAGCAGCACAGCAAGTTTAAGCCTCCACTGTGGGATTTCCACGTGAGTCAAAGATTTCCCGCGCGCGGACCTGGAGGATCTGGAAACCGCCTCCATGACATTTGCGAATGAGAGCACATGAGGACACAGTACGTCTCAAAAGAAGCTTTCTTGGCTCACAGTTCGCAGCAGTACTGTAGCTTCCATTTGCTTTTCCGCTATCCCTATGTAACTCCCAATATATACCCCAGCCCTAAACCCTAAACCCAAATTCTTCCCTTACTTCTATTCCCTAAACCCAAATTATTCCCTTATCTTTATTCACACAGTACACCTCCGCCTCCCGTAGGAGCATCGTCCAGCGCTGCCACCCCTGGCAGCACCTGCATCAAAACTTCCTGGTGCAAATGGGAGTTTCCCAAAATTAGGGATACCTTTCAAGGGGGCTTATAGGGGTCTTATAAGGGTTTTATAGGGTTTAGGGTTTCCCAAAACTAGGGATACCTTTTTGGGGGTCCCTTAAATGAGAATTTAGGTATTGTAGGGTCTACCTTGGAGTTCGCTTATGTTGAGAAACTACCACATGAACCATACTCTAAACTCCTAGTATTCCCCTTAATATCCTCTATGTTAGTCCCCCATATAACCCCCCTTTAAGGAGTTTAGACTATAGCTCACATGGACAAACGAACGAAGGAACGGTGTAGGGCCTTGCCCTCCAGGAGCTCCAGGGAAGCACCACCTCCGGTGGAGCAATGAGTGACCTGAGGAAAGGATTGTCGAACTACAAAAAACAAACAGTAGTAGTTTGCATTTTCTTTTCCATTAACCCTATAGGACCCTAACATATACCCCAAACCCTAAACTCTAATTCAACACTTGCAAGTGTCACGCCTTGTCTTCGGTGTCGTACTTCTTGCAGGCCTGGACATGCTTCTGTGCTTTCTGGCATTGGTCAAAGGAACCCCTTCTGCGGATCCGCGCTGTTGCAGTGTCGCCACCTCCGATGACCTGCCAACCAGCTGCGAAATCTTCATCTTCATTCCAGCCACCTGGTGCTTGGATCCTTGCAGTAGTCCCCATATAATGCCCTTTTATATATGGCCTAGAACAGTCCGATAGCCTATGCCACGAGTCCCACTAAGCACCAGGGAAGCCAAACAGGTGGCATCAGTGAAATCTAAGAACCTAGCCGTGACAGCTCCGGACTTCGTAACCTCCACGATCTTGTCCATCATGACTGGCGCAAGGCAAGATTGATAGCCCAGCAGATGCCTAGCACCACAGTGACCGAGCCTTTGGTGCCTGCCTCAAAGGCCTAAGGGATGTCAAGGCAGACTTGACAAATCTGTGGCGCTAGACCACTCACGCAAAAGAAGTTGGGAAGCAAAACTTTTCGCACAAAAAGTTATGGAAAAAAATCATGCTGCGCGAGGCACCGCCATCTCGAATACTCCCATAGGGCCGTTCCATACGATGGTCTTGCTCCTGACAAGTGTCGCTGAAGCAACTACTGTGCTACAGAGCTTGCGGCCCTTCATAGCACTGCCCATTTCCCTGCCCAGACGCTCCTGGCGATGGTCTTTGAATTCAGGGCGATGCTCTCTGGCCCACAGTCCAAACCTCATGCACGCAGCTAGCAGCCACGCCTAAAAAGTGTTTCACCGGCACCGGCCGGCGATCAACCCTGCACAGGCCCGCACCCATGAAGCCTCTTCAGCTGCACAGGCAACAAATAAACACAATGCTCCCATGACATGTCACATGACCCGCCGTCAGGGATGCCACTGGCGAGCGTGGCCGTCTTGATCTCGCCGTCCTTCAGGGGATGGCTTTGCCAGCATGTGTCAGTTGCAGGGGAAGCGCTCACAGAAAATGCCTCTCCAAATTTGGACGAAATCACGAAATCCACCGGCAGCACGATTTCCTTTGCCGAGACAAGGCGACAATGTGACTCTGTCTGTTGTGGGCAGCCTGGCCTTAAAGCAAAATACGAGTGCCGCCGAAACTCAACGCCCTTAGCCTTAGCCTTCTCCATGATCTCAGGCACAATCTTGGCACCCTCCTGGACAGCGTGGAAAGCTGTGCTCTGCTCGAATCGAGCTTGCCGCCCTCATGCCTCATCGAACAAGGAATTGCCGATGTTCATGCCGTGCAGCACCTGCCACTGGGCGTGCTGCAAAAAAACTTTCTGCTAGAATAAGCTTTCTGCTATTGGCTGCTAGAGGCTTCCCCCAGCGTTGCTCCCTGCCCAACTCTTCTTACCGTGCCATGCGAGCCGTTGAGACAGCAATCGAAGCGCCTTGATGAACGTGAAGGCCATCCCTCCTCCAATAATCATAGCGTCCACCTGAGACATTCACAGTAAAAACCTGTGACTGATATCTGCCAGCTGGCCTTGTCCAGCATGTTCTTGATCAGCTGGATCTTGTCCGTAACCTGCCAAGTCAAGAAAGTAGGAGAGTTTCAGGTGTGGGCTTGGATCGTCCCCGCCTTGGCTCCACCGAGGATGGCACAGACCGGCTTCACCGGGCTGTCCAACACTTTTGCGAAGGCTTCCAGCTCCTCCAGTGCACTTTGCTTTCCCTAGAGCAGGCGAGCCATTCTAAGGTCCTTGGCCACGAGGAACCCTGAACACTTCACCGCATAGCCCTGTCAAAGCTGGAAGCGCCAAACGATAATGAAACAGCATAAATCGCTATATCCGATTCCGCCTCACCCACCATTGAGCTGTGAGCACGATGAGCTGTGCCAAACGCGTCACTACCTGCGGCTGAATGCGCACAGAGCCAGACGGAGCTTCACAACGACAAACCGGCGAAGGACAAATGATGGGCACACCACGGCATGTTCCAAACACCCCTTCAACTTGCCAAGGAGAAGCTCTGGAACTCAGGGCTGCGCAGTAAATGTCGGCCAACTTGGCTATGGATGCCCGGAACTCCTACCATGAAGCAGTGCTAGTGATTCGCGCCTCGCATCCCTAGGCCACTTTTTGAGAGGATCCTGCCATGAAGGCATATTGCATTTTTGGATATACCAAGGGCACACCCTCATCTTACCGGTCCTCAGTAGGGAATAAGGGAATGCCACCCCTATATAATCCCTAATATGTGTATATACATATATATATATGTATATTATCCGTTGATCCATAAGTTTTGCTTTCAAGGTGCCCATCAGGCATTCTCCCAGCCCGGCTCCTTGGTCTTCTCTTTGTCAGCCTTGATCTTGTTGCCCTCCTCCCATGGCGAACATATCCACTGGGATGTAGGTATAATATAGGGCTTACGAAGGGGCTATGTAGGGGTGACTGATTTTTTTCTACCGGCACCTCAAACCCACCCTCTGGACTCCTCTCAGCGATCTAGACTAACGGAAAATGAAAAGGAGTGTACTTGTTTGCCCATAACAGGATTCATCATCCCATGGGTGCACATTCAAAGCCCTGCGTTGGGTCAAATTGCACCAGCCTTGTCGACACCTTTGCCTTCTTCTTCCACATGGAAACGGCAGTTCTGCAGCAGACGTTTTGAGCTTTCACTCATGTGCCATGCTTGGTGACGTCTGCAGTTCATCCAATCAAGAGTCTCACATGATCTTAGTTGCCGCTTGCTACCTCCCTGGAAGCTTTGGACATGCTTGTTTGTCACAAGTGGCGGTGACTTGGCCTCCAATAGGATCACGGAACCCTGCGCAGGGTTCGCACAGGCGGCCTGCAGCGGGCGCCCAGCATCAATTCTCTCTGGCGAAAACGCAGTGCCTATGAAATCGATAGCCACTGGCCTATTATTAGGGTTATATTGGGGTTATATAGGGATTATGGCAAAGAACATGGAAACTACTACGCCTATACAACCTGTTTGGGACGCCTCAACCTCTGCACCGCAGCAGTCCTGCAGATGTCACGTGCGCATGGAAACTGTGAACGCGAATGCTCCTTCAAGCAAGCTCCTTCAAAAAGGTGACGGGTTGGCCAAGTTTCTCTTGGACACACTTGGCAACTGGGGCCAAGGAATACCTTGCGTCAGCTCCATGAAATCGCGTGCTTCATTCAAAACGGAAATCTTTTTACCATGGGTGTCAGTTGGTCTCACAACATGATCCTACAAGCAGCATCTGTCCCATCCGTGGTGGGGCACTTCTCGACAACACTGCCATCTGGCCGCCCCAAGTGGGAGCACAGGACCACGGACTTGCAACCCTAGTCACACGGAAAAACACTTTGTACAAGTCTCTTTGAAGGTGGGCCATGCACCGGCCTTTTCCAGGCAATACTTAATAGTCGGCAGTGCCGCATCGATGCGTTGCGTGTTGGTGATGACACTGGGGTCCTGGTGACGGATCAGCCAAGCCAAGCCACACATCACAAGACAGCGTAGGACAGGTGTGAACAGCGTCGCAATGTGTTCCCCGCACCTTTTTATCTTGCGGGACGTTGAAATCCACACGGATGAAAACCCGTTTGCCAGCGACGTCAACCGAATCAATCCTGCGCCAAGATGCCGGCAAGCCCGGACTTTAAATTTACGGAAATGCTCTTGCTTCGAGGATAGGAATTGCAGACAATCCCCAACAAAGACGTCGTGCCTCAGCTTGTTCAGTGCCATTTCAAGGGGGTTATAAACGTCACGACACCCAGGCAACGAATCCTTGGAGCCAAAGCTGCAAACAAGTGGTCACATGCATGTAACGAGGAAATATGGCTTGATTCACGAAAACGGGATGAACAAAACTATACATCAACGTGAAAATGCAGCGTTCTGTCCGTTGCCATTTCCGGCAAAGAAATTCTTGCGCTGAAAACAAGGGTGGAGCTTACAAAATTCATGCTTCCAAACACGGGGGCGTGCTTCACCGAAATTGACATGTTGTATGGACGTAGTTGTGTATGTTCAAAGCTGCGGTCAACCAAGTGTTGTTCGCAAGCTTTCTGCATCTTGGTAGCCTTCTGAGAACTGGATTTTCGCATGTTTCGGAGATCTCTGTTTGGTTCAAGCATTTTCCCTTATGTTTGCAAGGCCCAGGAAAATTGATGTGCGTCACTGGGACAACGTCCTTCATTTTGGCATCACATGCCCGGAATGGTTAAAACCTATAAAATTGAGGCCCTGGTAACCCTGCTGCGAAACGCAAAAACATAGCAAAATCTGCATTTGCATTCGCGTTCGCCTCCGCTGAAACCAGCCGTTCGCCGCGACAACAAACATGCTCAGCTCACCTGCGCGCTTAAAGACACAGGGTGTGGGAGGAGGTGCAATGGCAAGACCGAAGCTCCCTTGACCTTGATCCCCAGCTACAACATGAAAGTGCGTTGGCATGAAAGCATGATGATAAAATCAAAACATGCACTGCAAAAAAGAACAAATGTCATTCCCACTCCTGCATGGCCAAGGAAGTGCAATGTATTACGCGGACAGCGTCCTCATGCGTCCCAAAAATGTTTCGAAACTCATGCTTCTCCAAACTTATCATTCTTTTGTATCGTTTAAACTCAGCAAACACGTAGCAACAGCATCACACACAATGTGCACTATTATTGCGGGCGACGGGATGTCCGTTTCTATTCTTCTATAAGTGTTGGATTGCTTGTTTCCTTCCTGGTGAGACTTCCCCCTTAAAGGGTGGCCTGACATGATAAAGACAAAACTGCTCAGTTTCAACACTGAGGCTGTAGCACATGTGTGGTAATTAGTGGCAATGCTCTGCGAGCACACGATCGCCAGCAGCGAGACTCTGAAGCCGATCGGCGACGTTTGCAAGTTCGATGCAAACCGTACCGACTCAATTGTTTCACTCAAGCCTCGAATATCGTGCACACTCTTCTCTCTTTCATCCTTGAAAAACATGCCTAAAGAAAAGCTCGTCACTTGCGACATTGACTGTGTGCACATGTCTGACGTGATTGGATGCATACATTCGGACGACCACGGTTCTTCCGTTTGAAGCCAGGGGGTGAAGCCGTCTTTGTGAACGCGTTTGGAGTAGGAGCATGAATGAAAGCCTCAGCCATATCGCAACATATTGCAAACTCAATACACTCACGGTTGCGCACACGCTTGTTCGCCCACGCTTCAGCTCAAAAGGGTTACACCACGAGTTCGAATGTTACTTTCCTATGTTTGTCCAAACCTACTTGGTACAGGAAGCCTTTCACCGCCACCTTTTCTGAGCACCTCTGTGCAGCGGTCTGCTGTTTCCCCATTCCGCGTCAGAGGTGCCTCTTGTACATGGCAGATTGAGGACGTGCAAAGTTTGCTGCGACCTGCGTTTCAAGCCTAAATTGCAGTGCAAAAAGATGTTGTCCCTGCTTTTTTGTTTGAACTCAATTGGCCGTGGCCAAGCTGCATGTGCTGAGTGCAGGCAAACGCCGCCTTGCGGGCTGGATAATGCTGAAGGAAGAAAGCGATCTCTGTCCCCATCCTGTTTCCCTTTGCAATTTTTTGCGGTTGAACACATCGGCCCAGGCGCTGTTTTCGGATGCGATGTATGTCACTGCGACTTGCACTTTGGTGTACGCTGACCGCGCCGTAAAGAATGATGCAAACGGCTATGCGGTAGTGAAGAACCTATTCACGCCTGCTTCTGCCGATGCGTTTTTCTGAGCCTGCGGACAACACAAGTTTGAAGTGTTTGGATTGCCATTTGGGCCCGGGACGTTGCTCAGAAAGGTGGAGATTCCACGCAGGCCATCTTACCATCAAGAGCATTGCCATTTCACGAGCACAGATGCGCTGGCAACAAACATGCACCGCGCGATGCAGTTCCATGCATGAGAGTCATTGCCAGTTGCTCAGCTTTGATTTGCAAGTTTCATGTCATGTAGCCCGCAGCGCGGCCTCATTGTCGAAAGTTTTATCGCACTGGTCGCACTGACAGGAATGAATTCCCGCCTGAGCTGTCTCGCTGTCAACTGCGAGTGCCTGCACCATATCCAATAGCTGTCTTTCCGTCTGCACAATGCCTGATCATATGGTACGGTGACATCACGTCCAATCTGCCTAACAACGCATGGTCGCTCTCCTCTGTCAAGTGCCTGGGACAAATGATTGTCCTGTGAAGCGTCAGGGAGACTCTTCCACTGGTAAAGCCAAGGGCTATTCCTCGCAAGAGAGAGAGAGGTCTGCCAGTGTTAAGGCTCTTGAGGGTGCACAGTCGGGGTCAGCTGAGTCCGCGAGCGCAAGCAAGTTGGGCAGATCCTCCGGCCATTTGGTCGAGGGCTTCAAGGT